ATCCACGTGTTTTCTCTGTTTACACACCGAATAACCTCAATAGTTATTAATATTAAGATTTAGTCATCTGAATTCTCTCAAACGGACAAACAGTCTTTGTCTCAACTACGGGAAGATAGGGAAGATCTATTTTTTCTACGAACGACGCTTCCCGCTAGCAACATTCCCTCAAGGACGGCTAGCATCCTTCTCTTCTTCCCTCACTTTCCCTCACTTTCCGTAGACGCGCCCCATCATAGTTTTCCTCTGCAGCATCATCGCGACAAAAAGTTATTCTCTCGTGAGGTCAAATTAGCGAGTTACATAGCGTCTTTAGCGATTTCTTCTCTAAAACAGACATTGTAAACAATTACATTCTCTTTCTTGGGCATCTCAGAATTAGTCTAATTATTGTACGATTTTGTTATTCTCATACTTACCTATCTCGGACAGACAAATACATATGAGCTCTTTCGTATAACCGTACAATTAAATAGGTTCTTGCCGCATAAAGCTAAGTAGATACTGGTTTACGCTAATAAGGAATCAAATAGGGCAGGTCCCTAACTATATAGATTCTTCTATATGCTAGCGTGTCTCATCTTCCAGTATTGTCAGCGTGGTTCAACATTAGTCCGGGAATAATCAGGAACATAAACGCGAGTACTCTCATTTGCTCTCTGATATAAATTATTGTCACATGGAGATATGATTATTTGAATATAATAATGCATGCTTATACTGACTTACGAAAATATGTAGGCACTGCAAAATTGTATGCATATACTACGCGGGCAAGATACATTTCTTGAAACTTCGTTAGCTCTATAATGAGATGCGAGTATCGTAATTATACTGAACAAGTTTTAAACCAGTCTAGAAACGTATAAAAAGAATTACAAGGCATTTTTGCGGACATACACTTTTGACACACTGTTAACCAGCTACGTTAAACAGAAACTAACAACTTAACTTTCTGCGTAAAAAAAAGAATTTATTCCTGGTCGGTCACAAATGTATTAAGAGAAAATTAGTATGCTTAATAATATTCTATATTGGGAACCGAGCTTATATATTATATTCTTCAGATTTTCGATGGTGTCAGAGCACAAAACCCAACAATTTTCGATAAAATTCATCTCGTGGAAGGCGACCTGACTCTGCCAGATTTAGATCTTTTGCAAAAAGACAGAGATATGTTGATAGAGAATGTAAACATAGTATTCCATGTTGCGGCCACTATAAATTTCCATCTACCATTGGATATGGTCGTCAATGCAAATGTGAAAGGTACCGCTAATATTATCAAACTGTGCAAGGAACTCAAGCATGTAATTAGCGTTGTCTATGTGAGCACAGCTTACAGTAATCCGAATCTATCAGACATCGAGGAAAAGGTCTACACGTAAGAATCAGTTATAATTTGTCATTCCTTAAACAATTTTTTCAATATCGTGCATAATCTACTTCTAAATATAAATAACCGATGAAAGTAATGTATAACTTAGTATAATTTGTTTACTTGTCTATTTGATTAACACTTGCCAGTCTCCATTGAAATGATAAATACTTGTCAAAACAGGTATAAATTTAAGAAAACTTACACAAGAAATAATCAATGATACAAGATCTGTCAATGACAAAAATTACGTATTGAAAATTATTTTACCTTTTACTAATTTCTTCTTTTTATTGAATTCAATGATGAACTTGTTTTGATACACGTACATGATAACAACTAGACACGGATATCATTATAAATTCATATTTTAAGATGAATAAACATGATTTGAGGAACAGAATCTAAGCAGAACTTTGTTCGTTTACTAAAAATTACAGCAAGTACTTCATCTTCGATTCTTTCTATATTATTGTGTATTATTTCATTATATTCTGTTATATTATTAGACATTCTATACGTTTTTGCATTTTAAATCTTTAAATGCGTCAAATTTGCAATTTATTAATGACTTTAGCGTGACAAACATGTTATCTTATGCTTGATAATTTTGCAGCACGAATCTAGATCCCTCTCTCGTGATAAATATATGTGACCGACAAGACAAAGAATTGATTAATCTGCTCGAAGAAAGAATTTTAAAAACGTATCCAAATACATACACGTTCGCTAAAAATCTTGCAGAGCAGACAATATCCAACAATAGCAAAGGATTGGCTGTTGCGATCGTACGACCAAGTATAATTTGTTGCTCGCTAAAAGAACCGTGCCCTGGTTGGTTGGTATCTTTTGCTGGACAATCAGGTATTTTTATAAATATTTACAATGATAATTCCTCATCATTTCATATCTCACTCATATCGCAAATAAGAGCGTTTCATTACATCCAAGTAATTCCGAATAATACAAGTCACTCGTATCACAAGACCTTAGCTCTCCATAATTTTCATAACAATGAAAGAAATCAGCAATAAAATAAAACTGTGACAATTTTTAACTCGCACATTCTGAAGGTTACGTATATGGAAATATACTTTTTGCTTATTGCGCTATAAAAATGATACCGTTATTACTTTTTTTATTAACTTAATTACGGGAATATGAACTTTTAACATACAATCCAATTACAAGCAGTTAGTTTCAGCCTAAAATGTGTAGTGTAGTATAGTATTATGGAATTAAATGGAATTAAATTAAGCATAAGACGTGCGATGCGCCCCTCGAGACAGTAGGATATGCTTTGTTACGATGTACATGATGTATTTAACGTGAAACAACATAAAATTTTAGAGCACAATATGATTAAACATTTTATCTGGCAACAATGAGCGAAATATAATATATTTCTGTTTAAGAGGCAATGATTTTAAATAATTATATGGATATGTATTAGCATTGGACTACTTATTCAACGAGTGGCCAAACGCAGAAGTTGACGCTGTATGCTTTCGAATATATCATAAAGAAATTGCTGATATGAAAGAAGGTTGGTTATTGTTATAAGACTGTAGACTCTGATGTGGCCTGTGTGTTAGCTCAGATTCCGGTCAATCGTTTAACAGTAAAAGGGAGATTACTCGTCGAGAACGTCGAATAGCCGTTGAGAGTACAGAACGTTAAGCGGCGCAAAGCGAAATCGTGTTTGTCACCTACGGCGCACAGAGGGAGGCAATGACGCAAACAATGTTTGGAATTACTCAGTCTTCTTGTACGATATGAATTAATATGATTTAACTCCCTTATATAACCTTGAAATTAAAAACAGATGTAGCCAGTTATCATAATCGTTTTGATTATTAGAAACGATTTGCACAGAAGCGATTACGCTGATCAACTCCACGAATTACGATAAAAAGGAGAAACAATTGTGATATTACAAACGTTATTCCTTAGAATTCAAGTTAAGATTATACGACTTCTTCTTTCAACAGATAAACTCATCGCTATGAGTTATTTGCGAAGCTGAACATTTTTAGGCAATGAAGTTAAAAAATTCAGAAAAATATAGTTGTAATTAATTTCTGAGAAGCTAGTTGACTCTAATTTTTACCAGATCGCCATTATTTAACCTGTGTTTTTACTGTCAGTTACAGCTACTCTTCCCATATCCGTGTCGGTACATTTCGAGACAGTTGAGAATCATTAATAACTTTTGAACCAATTTGACGTTGCAGGTATCTTCATGAATATCGGCAATGGTATTGCAAAAGTACTATTGGGTAAGGCAGATGTAATATCAGATGTAGTGCCTATTGATTATGTAGTCGATGTGATAATGTGTGCCGCGTGGCACGTCACGCTACATATTGATAATAGGGTCAAAGTTTACAACTGTACGAGCAGCGCACGTCCCATCAAGTACGGAATCGATATTTATTACAGAATTTGTTTAACTAACGTAACTCAATTGTTAGAGTATCCTAAAAGCTTCAGATTCATTTAAGCAATGCGATCAATGGAAACGCCAATGGATAAATTGCATTCAAGTGTGATTAATGTACAAAAGATAATGATAAACTTAGAAAAAGATATTGAGAACACAAATGGATAAGAGCCAGCCAGATTTTTTTCTGTGAATATTTATATGTCGGGTTTACATTAGAATTAGGGTTAGGAGCGTGAAACGAATCTTCGTTTGGGTTACACGTTGTCGCTATGCAATAGAGAAGACATTGACTAGTGCAAATACGATTATTATAGAACCGGACAAGTAACCG